AGAAAGCATTTTTTATGAATGATTAGTGAACTGTGTTTCTGTAACAATTGCAAAGTATGTGTTTCCACATGCAGCCTTTTCATGCTTACAGAGAAGATTAAAAATAACACTGAAAGGACTGAAAATCAAATCAACATGTTAAAAGCATGATATGCTGTCTCTGTAACTAACCATCTTTTCAGTAATTGGAAAACTTCATGTGCTGGCCAGCAATGAAGTTTTTTAAGTGTTTTCATTTCCACTGAGAAAGTGTTATTATTTCCACTTCAGGAATCTTGCTGAAGAGATGCTAGCAATATTTCTTTTAGGGTTCAAGGTTTTTCATCAACAGGCAGAAACTGCACTACTGAATTACTAGTATATATTTCTCCTGCTTCAACTCTCTTTTAACCTTTTCCCTTCTTAAGAAGCATCCAGATGCATCACTTCCCTTTATAAAAGTAAACTGAGCATAGCCTGTTTTCTACTTTAAGAAAATTATATTTCCATAAAGTAAATCAGCACCCATTACAGAGATGGGCTTTGGTAAAACCTTTTTCCATATTTTTTTGCCAAGGCCAAGATTATTTTGGTGTTGGCTAAAGCTGAAGGAGACTCAATATTAAATCACAAACTCTTCTGAGACAAATAGCCTGACAGACCTTTTCCATTAGTTGTATTCACATTCAGCCTTATACCCAATCTTTCTCTAGCTCTTGTGTTTTTTGAATTTGGTTTTCTGTACTGCTTATCTAAGACAGGCTAGTGCTAATGGGCTCAGAGGATTCTGTGCCCAGACACAGATGTGGTTTCAGCCTGAAGTTTGTGAAGGAGAAAAGGGTTATCAGAATCAGTTAGCTTAAATAAGCTAATGATAAAGTTGTTTTCTCTAAAAATTTGCTTTTGAGATATCTGTTGGTCAGCTGTTCCACTTCTGAATTAAATACGCCTTTCTGAGAAATTCAAAATTTCAGTGCTTCTGACATGCATGACAGGACCAGACATGTTTCTCTTCCTGGAATAGTCAGTATGGTTTCTCCTTCGGCATACTGATCCTGAATTTCTGCTGTATTGCAAAGTTACACTGAATGAATACTAAACGCATTACAAAAGCTTAATTTCCCAAACCTTTTTTCTTCCACTCTACAGAATTTCTGGTATGTTCTTATGGCAATTTTCCTACAAAAACCCCTGGCATTACTCTTTCATGGACTATTTCACACCCCCCCCTCACTTGATGCCATTTGAGCATTTAGCACTGCACCCTCCAATTAGAAATTCCATACACATAGTTTTTAGTCTCGTTTTCAAACAAGACTTTGTTTACACAAATTTTTATATAAAGCCATAGCACAGTTCATAGCAGGAAAACAGAAGCCAGTAGTCAGAAAACATTTATACTCTAAAGCCTGTGGGGCCTTTAGGACCATATAACATATTTCTGTTCTCCAAATAAATGGCCATTTACATTTGAAACATTCTGATGTTACAAAGCTTGCCATGATCTACAACAGAAATAGAACTACATGTGAGCCAAAAAGCAAAGATGAAGCATAGTTTGCAGAAGAAGATGTATACAACTGTCACCTGAAATCCAGTGCTGAGCTGTGCATTTGCCATCAGTTTATAGGCAATTTCTGGGCTGAAAGCTGATTTTGGTGCTGCATTAGCAGGTTATGCAGAGTAAATTCTACAGTTCTTTATATTATTTCAAACTAATGTTGTTCAGTGGAAAAACAGTAGCTTTTTTTTTCCTGTACTTTTTCCTCATTTATACAGAAGGAATTTTTAAATGCTTGAGCAGGCATGGAGGATAAAATACTGAAATCAACCAGTCTTTTGACAATGCCAGGATTTAAATGAGGGTCTTCATGGGAGCATGCCACAAGGAAGATCTGTTTCTTGGATGCATCCCAAAAGCTCCCCAGATATCTGATGTCATACAACTATCCCTAGGGACTCCCAGCAGAAAATGCAACATTCAGTAGAAAAATGACTTGTTCTCTTTCCTGGCTCTCTGCACCCCAGGTTTCTGGTATTCCTGAAAAATTCCCTTCTGTTTTCCTTCAGTTTTATTGCCCTCTGAACTTCCAGCTATTGCCAGAAATTACTTTACGAAGTTCTACACTGACTGATTTGTATGTTTTTACTTCAGCCTTTGCTGTGGTGTTCTTGTTGCTGTTAACTGTGATGAAAATTTCAGACCCTTCAACTCAAGTCTTGATAGATAAAGGTAATTGTTACTTTCAGTGCATGTCTTTCAGAAAAAAAATAACCTGATTTTCATTAGTATGCACATGGTTTCCTGGACAGTTTAAATGTATTCAGATTATCTAATTGCAGTCTTAAGACTTTTGTCTTTTAGATGTGATTTTGGAATGAATAATGGCTACTCATTCACAGTCTTGTTCTGTCAGTGTGACCCTTCATCTTTTCCACTGTTTGATGCTTTTCAGTTAAAACTTAGAATTCTGTTGCTTTGTAATCCTGACCCATAATAGGTATTGCCTTGTATCAGGCTGTATCTTTCATCAAATTCCAGTTTTTACCAAACCTATGCCCACTGAGTCACTAAGGCTGCAGATCCCGAATTGCAGACTTCCTTCAAAAGTAGACATTCCAAGTCAGCTTTCCATTGGGATAAGATTATTTGGATATAAAATTTAAATTAAACTTGGATAACGTGTGCCCAATTGAAAGCAGCAGTGGCAGACAGCAGCTGCAGCAGAGAACAGTATATACCTCTTAGTACAAAAAGACAAAATATTTACTAAGCTAGGGGATTTTTTACCCTCTGTGGCACTGGTGAAGTCATAACCGTGCTCACAAAGCTATAGCTGAGTGATTTACAGTGCAGTACTTGAGGAGACATCAAAAGTGGAGTCCACTACAATCCAAGTACCAACCAAATCAGCTGACTGTTAGTAATACCACCTTGTGTGGAAATGGATGGAGACAATGTACTGTCATCAGCAAAGAACAGGAATCCAGACAAAATATTAGGTGAAACAAGAACATCCTGGGAATATAGTTGTTTCAAGAAGCCCCTGTTGGCTAACTTAGACCAAGGAGAAATACCAAACAGTCCCAGTTGAAAAAGCTTTAAACGTTTTATAGAAAGCTGAAGCATAGTACCTTAGCCTAATCCAACATATTTATATGAGTGTTTTGTGAACTTAATTACAAATTTATTATGTTTCCAAATTAGTGGAGTGCCTCTGTTACAATAGCTCGTCTGGCCTGGCTTCTCAACAGAAAGTTGCCTGGACAGAGAAGCTGCCTAGACGTTGCAAATATTTCTCATCTTGAGGTGTCTGTGTTTGTGACTCCAGAACTTGCAGAGACTACATTAAATCAATTCAGTAAGTGCAGGCTTCAAAATTATTACTCTTGCTGTCTCTGGCTAGTTTTTGTTGGTTGTCTGACAGGTTGGTTTATTTTTTGCTTTTGTCTCTAGGTGTTAGTCTTATGACCATCTGCACTTATGTAAAGTACTTCAGTAGGCTCTGAAGTCAATACCTAGGCACTCTGATAACGCAGGTTATAATCAAGTATTAAAGGCCACACGGAAGTGACACCTTGCACTCAGTAGCTATGTGTCTTACATTAAAGGGCCTAGCTATGTAGTTAAGTCCATCACTGAGCTCCCAGGAACCTACCAGACACATGGAAATAGCTGGCTCCCTGAATCCTCTCAAGAAACAGTCAGCAAAGAAGGGAGCAGCTTGTGGAGCTCAGTGCACTTGAAATCGAGATAAGCAGCTAGTTTTACAGCAGCTATTTGCTTCACATGTGCCTAGAGACAGGATAGCTTGTGATTACAGAATGAAGCTGATGTGAGGGAAAGAGCTCAAGACTGTGTTTGAATTCTAAGTGTCTAAAATGATGATAGCATAAGTCATGATAGACTCAAAAGCCCCTGAGTCCCATAAGCCTTTAATCTACAGTGCCCAGAATAATAGTGAAAAAAGCAGAGATACATCTCAAGTGTCTGGCTTATTTTCCCAACTAAATCAACTGTAAGAACCATAGTTATTTACAACATGCAGAAAGTGTCAAGATGATAGTTAAAGTACTTACTTTATAGAGGCAATATAAATATTGTTGCATGGAAATCTCCCACAAACAGCAGCAGGAGTTTTAACTCTGGATGACTGCAGGATTTGGTATAATCTTTGCTAGGTGGTGATTTTTCTATGAAAGAGGAAAACTTATGTGAAAGGAGTTGGTAACTTTACAGACCCTTTCTTTTTGTAATCTCACCTTGATTTAACAACTCAAAAATGGTAAAGACATATTTCGAAAAGTTACATGCACAATTCTGCTACTAGATTCACCCAAAATATTGCTTCATGAAAAAGAAACACTTCTTAGGAAGCCAGCCCTGTAGGATGTACTGTAATGAGGTTTTCCTTGAACTCATCAGACATTTTGTTTAGAACAAATTTTGTGTTTCATTTTCCCATCTTATGCTATCAAGGTTTATTGTTTACACTATATATATATACTCGATCCTGCATCTTTTTCCCATCCCAGTTATTTATCAATGACAAGCTGTGTGGCCTGAGCAATTTTGAGAAGTCCCTCTGTCCCAAGCCCTGCCTTTGAGCTGCGGTATAGATCAGGCTGTTAGCAAAGCAGTCATTTCTAACGGGAAGAAGAGCAGAGCTGAGTAACGCCAGGTTTAGGGGGTTTTCTTTATTAAGAGGAGAAAGGTGAACGCATACCCCTCCCTCCCTCGCCGCGTCTGGCAGCCCCGCGGGGGCGATGCGGGGCTTTGGGGGGCGGTGCTCCGGGGCCCTGTGGCCGGTGCCGGGAGCGGGGGGCGGCCCGGCCCGGCCCTGCCTGGCGCGGCGCGGGGGCCGCTTCCCCCTCGGCGGGGCTGACGGCTTTTAGGAGCGGCGCGGCGCGGCCGGCTCCAGAGCGCCGCCAGCTCTCCGGCCGTGCTGCCGTAGCCGGCCGGGACGGCCCGCAGCGGAGCCCAGCACGGCAGAGGCGGCACCAGGGAGACCCATGCGGCCCTAGGCTGCCCGTCGGCCGCACCATGCCGGTCCCTCTGCGCCTGGTGTGGCTGTTCTGGCTCTGCAGCATCTGCCGCGGGTACTTCGAGGGCCCGCTGTACCCTGAAATGTCCAACGGGAGCCTGCACCACTACTTCGTCCCCGATGGGGACTACGAGGAGAACGACGACCCCGAGCGGTGCCAGCTGCTGTTCCGGGTGAGCGAGCAGCGGCGGTGCGGCGCGGCGGCGGCGGCGGCGGGCGGTGGGCTCAGCCTGCGAGAGGAGCTGACGGTGCTGGGGAGGCAGGTGGAGGACGCGGGCCGGGTGCTGGAAGGCATCGGCAAGAGTATCTCCTACGACCTGGACGGGGAGGAGAGCTACGGTGCCTACCTGCGCCGCGAGTCCGCCCAGATCAGCGATGCCTACTCCAGCTCGGACCGCTCGCTGAGCGAGCTGGAGGGCAAATTCCGTCAGGGGCAGGAGCAGGGCGGCCGGGAGGAATCCCGTCTGGGCGACAGCTTCCTGGGGCTGCTGCTGCACGCCCGCGCCCTGCTCCGCGAGACCCGCCACGTCTCCAGCGGGCTGCGCGACAAGTACGACCTGCTAGCTCTGACCGTGCGCAGCCACGGCGCCCGCCTCAGTCGCCTCAAGAATGATTATCTCCGCGCCTGAGACCGGAGCCCCCGCCCCAGCTGAACCCGGACCCCCCACCGGCTTCAAAAGAGACCCCCAGTCCTACTGCCGGTGTCCCGGAAGGCACAGCTCTGACGTCTGCCTGGAAGGAGCACGTCCTTGGACAAACCCTAGATTAATTTGGGAAAAGACCTCCGAGATCAAGTCCTACCTTTGACTGAATACCACCACGCCCACTAAACCATGTTGAGAAGTGCCACAGTTTTGAACGCTTACAGGGATAGTAACTCAAACAAAATACACTATTCTTCATGGTAAAACCTTATTTATTTTACCTTCTAAACAAATAGCACAATTCTATAAACCAGGAGGTTCGAGGTATGTTTAAGTTAATATCCCATACTCAAAAATCTACCCTCTGTTGTATCATTCATCTTTGGTTGCAAAATGAAGTAAGCTTTCTCATCTCTGATTCCCTGCTGTTTGTTTTTGTATCACCTGTTCTGCTGTGGCTCACCTACCGTAAGTATAGTTGACGTGAGGTGCTGGCTAGCTCCTTCCAGATTCCTATGTAGCAAATACTTAAATTGCTTTTGTTGTTAGTCCTTCAGGATGAAACCTCTGGCCCTCTATTAACTTCCTTTCCAATTATATGTATTATATGCTCGTTAAACATTGTTCCACTACATAAAGCTGTGATTCTCATTTGTGTTTGGAAAGATGGGAACTATTCTGGCAGGATTTGTACTTCCAGGCTTGCTTATCTGTGACTCTAAGCTATCATAACCCTAAGAAGCAGCCAAAAAGGTTTATGTCAGATCCTGAGAATGTTGGTGGAGATTTTTATAGCAAAAAGAATGAGCCCTAGTGGTGATTAGAGTTTTGGATCCCAGATTTGAGAGCCAGGAGCCTGTTTCTAAAGCAGACAAAAAGGTTTTGTCTATGCAAGCACATTGACTTTTCTTGTTGGTGACTTTTACTAGCTAAGTTATTATTTTGCTAGATGAGTTATTAATAAAACTTTGTGGTCCTAGACAATAGCAAAAGTGGCTGGTGGGAAGGAGAGTGGAGATTATTTGGGTTTTTATACTCCTTGCTATTTAACTGACAGTTTGGGGTAATGTGGTTATTAGGTTACAGATACCGCAGGCATACCTGTTTCAATGAAAAGGGTGTTGTAATAAATATTTGAAAACAGTGTTAAAGTACATTTTTGTTATTAGTTTCCAAGATGCTCTTGATTTTAAAACATTCAGTTGAAATGTGTCTTTTCAGCAAAAATTTGAAAGTTTGTAGCCCCTGCCAAGTGAAACAACTTGCTTTTTAGTAAAAACAATAAATTTACAGACTCATGAGGTAAGCAAGTTTCATTAAAAGTAACAACACAAAAGGGCTTTTAGGGCAGACTTTTTTGAGTTTTTAAGCACTCGTGGCACTGGAAGAGAAGCTGATGTACTTTTGAGGTCTATTCTTGTAAACCGTGCTCCCATTTAGTTATACTTCAGTCTGCAAACCATTGAGTGGGTAAGTTACTCAAAAGTGCAGTGGGTCAACATAAGTCAGCTTGGACTAGGGTGCTGAAGGCACCAGGAAAGTCTCAGGAGGGTACGTGCTTACAGAACCAGATAGCTCATTTTGCTGAAGGCAGTGAAATGTAGCGAACTAGCAAGATACTTGAGATGTCACTTTGCATTTTTAAGTCCTCAGCATCTTTAAAGATTTGCTAAAAAAAAGAGACATTTTTTTGGTTGACTCTGGTGGAACCACTCAGTGTTATTTTCTGTTCTCAAGTTAGAAGGTATATTAAAAATTAAGAAAGTAAATTAAAAATTAATTTATTTGTGATACTTTCCTTGTCACTAGGGATGGATGGCACAACACAAGAGTGAGCCAAGTCACTGTGTCTCGTGTGCTCACTGCCTTAGCAAAACATAATAGCAATTCTGGTCTGGACCAAGCTCCAGAAGTACCTGAGACCAGTCTCCCCTGAGGATGTCATGCAGTTCCATTTGTGCCCAGAAGCTTCTTAAAGAAGTTTCAGTCTCTGTTTACCCACTTTGAGTCATTTGCTCTAATATGAATTTTAAATATCAGTAAATAAACAAAAATGGCATGACCATGCTATTTTTTTAGCTTTATGAGAGCAGTATTCAAATCCTAATAGAAATATATTAGTACTGTAAAACACAGCTTCCTGAACATGCTTTAAGCAGCTTGACTATTCTATTTGCAGTAGCAAATGTTTGGTCAAGTTGAAACTATTCCAGTGTATGCAGCATACCAAAAGAGTAAATGTTTACAGAATGCTTACTTTTCAAAGCAAGAGATGTGTGGGTATTTACAGTATAACTCATTTCACTCAATGCCCTGTAAATTGTAATCTAGTGAAACAAGACTGTGATACTTTACAATCCACACTAATGTTTCATATGATAAATATGAATTTTTGACACACTTTTATGCTTCAGTAAAATATAAACATGTTTATATTTGAAATATGACAGAATTCTGATTTCGTTTCAGTAGCTTTGATTTTGGATGGCTTTAAATGGTCCTTTCAAGGAGAAAATTAAGATATCTGAGTCTGGTTTATGTGTAAGTGCACACATTTAATAAAAATGGTCAATCATGTGGATTTGATGAAGCCAATGCAAACATCTTTTAGGACATTTAAATCTACTAGAGTTTGACTTACATAATTTTGGCTGATCTAAGCAAATGTATACATTAAATGTATAATTTTTAAGTCAGATCTGATAATTAAATGGTTTTTATAGAGCTGCCTGCAAGAACTGAGTGCTTAGTGATGTTCAGCAGTTTAAAGTTTTAAATTCAATTTTTTTCTTTAAAAACTGTGAAAACTATATTGCAATACTCTTTGCAATCTTATAAATGTCCTACTTTTTCTTTTTATCTGATAAAACTTATTTGTTTGGAAGGTATGAAGATCCCCTGGATCTGGATCTTCATACAGCCTATTTTAAATAGTAAAAGCTCTTTTATCATTGTAAATTTGGTAATCATTTTTAAGCAGAGCGCTTTAAAAGGATGATTGTAGCAGCAATCATCCCCACTATGTCCTTCTGTTATGTTAAAATATTGCATTGGTACTAGATTATTTTTTCTTTTTCAGAATGCAGAAGTTTGAGCTAAAATTGAGCGGACAATGGTATTTTTTGTTGTATTCTGATGGTTATCAATATACGTATTATTTCTGAATTTATTAAAGAGTTGGTGGCACTGAAGAGCAAAAGACTATTTTCTGAAAAATAAACATGCTGCAGCTGGAACAGTCATAGAGAGCTTACTTGAGTTTTTTCATCAAGAGGAACAGGTTGCTCAGAGAAGGTGTGGATGATCCATCCTTGAAAGTTTTCAAGGCCAGGCTAGATGGAGCTCTGAGCAACCTGGTCTAGTGGAGAGTATCTCTACCCATGGCAGGTGGATTGGAATGAGATGATCTTTAAGATCCCTTCCTACTCAAAGAATTCTATGATTAGAGTCAAACAAGGCTCTAAGGGACTCACCTGCACTTTTCTCCAGGTAGCTCACTTTTGAAGGCTGTGGTCTGATGTGGACAATCTCACATCCACTGATACACAAAACAGAAGAAGCTCAGAGCATGCACAAAACCATTAACAAGAGCTTGAGATAGAAAAGTGTACTTTCCTTATGCCAAGTTAATGGCTGAGAATTCAGAGGAGAGTGTGCAAACTGGATTTCAAAATTGCAATTTCCAGTTCCACAGGCTGACTTACCCAGGACCATCCTCACAGAGAAGTCAAGTGAAGCTTTCAAAAACTTGGTGAGCCTTTAAAAAACCCTCTGTGTGCCAAGCTGGGGTGTATGAATTGTCTGAAGCTGAATTGTTGCTCCTATAGGTTGTCAGGTACTTAGATGCAGTTTGGCAAGACGTAAAGCTCATCAGCAAAAAATACTTGGCTTAGTCACTAGAAACAACCTTGTGAGCTACAGAGCTCTGGTTATAATCTTGTCTAGGAAATGTGCATTTTGTGGAGAAATTCTCTTGGATGTGTCTGTTACTGTAGGTGTGGCTGTTTATTTAGATGGTCTTCATGTTACTTTACCAGTTTCTTGTGCATGCTTCTTGAATATCAATTTTGTGATGATTAAAGAAGTTTTCAGCTAACAGTGAAGTGTTGTGAGTGAAGTGCATTTCACAGACACTATTCCTGAAGTAAGCCTGTGGGTTCAAAGTCTGTAATTTTTCTGTCTTTTAAAATGTATTTTTACTTGCAGTTCATTTGGAAATTTGGTTTTTTATTACCTAGATTTTTTTTCTGGTAAGCCATTAGCAAAAAATTGTTCAATTTGTGGGTCTATATTTCATTCCTAAAATATGTGAAACTGGCAAAAAAGCCCTGACTGTGCTACATGCTTCTTTTAAAAGCTGTTATGAACATACGTGTTCATATGTTCAGAAGAACACATGTAAAAAAAGACTAAAAATGCTTATTTTGTTCATTGAATTGTCATCCTGCCTACAAGATCAATTTATAACTGGAAAAGGCAGAATTTAATGACTATTTCTGTAACAAGAAAAACATATGGTCTCCATAACCATTACATTTTTAATGATGTGGCTTGGACAGAGTCATTCATGTCTGTGTAGAGTCTTTCCTCCTTGAAAACTACCTTACCTTGGGGAGGTACTGCTGGCAGTCTCCAGCATGTCATTAACATTCTTTCATAAGAAAAGACAATGCCAAGAGTATCATATTTTCTCAGATGACAACCTTCCTTAGACTGTGTACACCCCTTGTGAGAGCTTAGAAACCGTCTGTATAGCAATCATTGTTCATGTCTAAACTTTCTTTTTTGGGACGGGGGTGGGGAGAAACGTTATTAGAGAAGGTTGGTTCATTATCCAGTGAAGTGGATAATGTGAATATTGTGAAAGCACGATGACCAAAAAAGCTATGTACTTGCATCATATTTTCCATACATTTTCCACTGCAAATTTTTCTCTGTGACGGGAGTTACCAACATAGAGTAATTTTAGTGTTATAATAGAGATTTACTGTTATTAATACTAATAGTTTGGTGTTATATATTTGGTATATAGTGCAAATACCATTATTTATACTAAAAATTTGGACACACTCCAAACTGCAAGATGGTTTTATCTGTCTACTTTGTTATCTCTTCTCAAAAATAATATGACTATTATTATCAGTTTAGTGTTGGGTTTTGATCCATGAAAATTATTCAGTGGACTTCTAGTTTCTCAGCTGAATTTATCTAAGACCTTGTTATGCCATTTTCGGTGATAAAGAATTATTTCCTTTACACTTTCTGTGTGGACAGCTGCTTGGTTAATGAAGAGCAGTCAATTTTTCTCAGTAGCAGGCTTTGTCCTTTTTTAATTAATATGATTTTGTTTCTAATTTAATGTAATCCATCTGAGATTTGTATTAAAGTAATGCACTTTTTACTCAGGATTCAAACAGAGGTACAACAAAACGCAAGCTAATTCATAATGATCTGCATATAAATTAAGATGCTATTAGATTTGTGACTTTAAATAATACCTCACATACTCTCTAATTTCAGAAGAGTAACCCTAGAAAAAAAGAGTGAATGAACAGGAGGTAAACCTCACTTACATTTTTTTTTTGCAGAGGAATTAATCTGACCATGTACATGAGGAATGAACTGAAGTTCACCATGTGCTCTTTTACCCTAGAAGCTAATTTGCAGCCACGTCCACTTTTCATTTCTAACATTTATATTTCTTTGTCAGTTAGGTTTTTCAAAAAGGCAGGCATCCCCTTATGCTACTTATATATTGATTTATAGTTCCTATCCAAATCACTTTTCCATTGCATGTCATTCCACAACCGTATGCAGGCTGCATGGTATTTATTTACTTGCAGATCTCACTGACTTTAACAGTAATTCCTCTACATTTCTTAGCTGCCCCACTCCACTGCACATCTATCTCAGGCCTGCTCTAAGTTGCTGCTTTTATCTCTCTTAGCATGTGTGCAGAGCTCCAGCTCACAGAACCAGGAAAACATTGTCATTGTTGGTTATGTGTAACTCCACTGGGAATACTGGTCTAGGTTGTAGTCTTTTACTGTCATGTCAGGGTAGCAAGCAGAGTTTGTTTCCTAAGTTGTTTGCTCTTTGTATGTTACCCTGTGACTTAAAATTTTGCAATGTCTGTTACCTAATTGCTGCCAAACTGATATTTATGTGGCAGTAACCTTCTGCAAAGTCATATGGAGACATGTGGCAAACCCCCACAGTACATCCCTGCAAAAATGATGGTGACAGAGTAAAGCCCAAGGAGAATTAGTGAACTGATCTTGCAGTACAGGATTAAGCAAAAATATGTTGAGACACTAAAAAGGGACATAAATATGTTGTAGGTCAAGATTTTCATTATATATTCTGATATGCCTCTTATAAAATTCTTTCTTTTACAGAAACACAACAAATACAAGCACAGCATTAATGATTTAGAGTTTGCTGTTACGTCATCTTAAAGGCATTTTGGTTTTACTCCACTTGGATAGGATCTTTTTCCACTTGTATATTGTATAGCACTCTTTGTAAAAATAGACATCCAGCCTTGCAAACACTTTGGAGTGCTCCTGTTACCAAATGAGACTTTTTACACCCTCATGCTTCAGTATTTTCCCCTTTTGACTGGGGAAAAAGAAATCTCTATTCTTGTTATATGTACAACTTTTCTTCCTAAGGTCCAAACTAAATTACTTTTGGTTCTTTTTTTTCCAGCTTGACTGGGATTTTTATGTATGCTTTATGTAGCTTATGTTAATAACAGATTTCACTCATTAAAAGTCTATAATTGTATTATTTAGACACTTGAACCAAATTTAGTCTTTTTTTTCCTCCATTTAATAAAAACAAAACAAATTATAAATGCATACAATATCAAATATTTTCTTTCACCCATTATGTACTTAATGTGTACTTTTTCTAAAAGAAAAGAAGCAAAAATAATTGAGAAACCTAGCGTTAAGGTACTATGTTACAAAGTCAACAGCATAAGTCAGGAAGGTGAAATGTGGATTCTCAAGAAATAATCTACATTCAGCGTAGGCAAAATGTTCATTCTCCTCTTTTCTAGGAGTTACTACTTGGAGACTAATCACTGAGACAAAGAATAAGGTATGTACTTCATATAAAATACCTGCAGGTAAATAATTATCTTTATTATCTTCCAATAAAGACAATAAAGAGTTACAAAACCTCTGGAATAAATAAATAAAGCCATTTGTAAACAGTATTTATTAAAGGAACCTGACTATCTGCCAGACATCCAGTCTATCAAACCTTGAAAATAATTTAGAATGTTCAAGCTCCTGTTTCAAATAATGTATTTAAATAGCGAGGCAGGAAGCATATAGTAGTTCTTACAAAAAGTTATTTTAAAAAACAGAAGACAGCCATGAAAACCAAAAACGTATGTATTCCACAGAGAAAACAGAAAAAGAAACAAGGCAAGAATATGAAAACAAGCTGAAAAAATGGATTTGGGGCCTAATTTGGAAGCAATTAATTACTACTACTCTTTCCCTTAAAATAGTGTGACCAACTCCATACATTACTAGAACTGCCTTGGCATGTGAAGGTTGTTTTTTATTGAAGATGTTAAATTATAATTACCAACATAAATACTTCATTTCCTATTAGTTGCAGTCTTTTTAACTGCCAAAATATTTCTGAAGAGTCATTGAATATTTTCACTTTTTCCATGTATTTGTTCCCACCCAACTAGCCAACTTTCCATCTCTGTGAATGTTTTACTGTCTTTGAAAAATGCTGATTAGACAAAATTGGTGTTAAGGCTTTCCCTTTATTGGATACACTGATGCACCAATATTTTCTGGATGCTTTGCAGATCACAATATGGCCACTGAGTGTCTCATGGAGCAGGTGCCCCTTGCACAGCTGGGAAAAGCTTTCCATCTGGAGACAAATAAAGGTTTTCCTTTTCTTTTTCCTCTTCTTTCATGGACGTTATGCCACCAGTTCATGCATACTGAAGAAGGTGGGGATTGTACTGCAATAAAAACTGAAAACTTGAAGATCAACATGGGCCACTCCAGCTGAAAACTGTTGGTGCAATGTTCTGCCATTGCCCTCAACTACAGAACTACAGAACTCCCTCCGTTCAACCACAAGAAACACACTGATCAAATAAATGTCATTAATATTTTTTCCTGTCAGAAGATATCAGGCATGAAACAATGAGGGTATATTAATGTTGTTTTAAAATTTGTTCCCAAGAAGCTCACTTGCCTGAAACTTACTACTCAGAAGACTTGTTTAGCAGTAAAATCATCTCAGAGAGTCATAGAATCATTTAGATTGGAAAATACCTCTACCATCATTGAGTTAACTGTTAACCCAACACTGCTCAGCCCACTGCTAAGCCAGATCTATGTATGGCTTGGCTTTTAAACATCTCCAGGGCTGGTGATTCCACTACTTCTCTTAGCAGCCTTAGTTCCAATGCTTGACTACACTTTTGTTAAAAGATGTTTTCATAATATTCAATCTAAACCTCCCCTAGCAGAATTTGAGGCCATTTTCTCTTGTCCTATTGCTTATTACATGAGAGAAGAGACTGACTGCCAGCTGACTGCAATCTCTTTCAGGTGGTTTTAGAGAGTGATACCATCCCTCCCAAATCTCCTATTCTCCAGGCTGAGCCCCCCAGCTCCCTCCCTGGTTGTCATCATAGTTGTGCTCCAGCCCCTTTATTAGCTCCATTCCCTTCTCTGGACATGCTTGAACACCTCAGTATCTTTCATATTGTGAGGGACCCCAAACTAAACACAAGATTGGAGGTGTGGCCTCACCAGTGCAAAGCCTGGGGGGATGATGACTGTCCTGGTGCTGCTGGTCTACTACAAATCTGCCCCATTAATTTGGAGGGTGCAGAAAAAAGTGGCTCCATCTGAAGAAGCAGGGATCTTTTGTGCCACAGCACAGACTCCGTTTGACCATAGGCCTATTCAACCTTGTTCATAAAAGATCATCTCCCTTTGACCATGTTTACTGTAGATTACATCCAGTATTTAAAACCCCAGGTTATTTTCTTCTTTCCACACACCACCACCACCCTCCTTCTCCGTCCGGGGAGCCTGAAGTGG